TTGAAAATTAGGCGATACCGAGCCTAAATTTGATAAGGTGATGCCATTTTATCAAGTCGATTTTTTCATCCTGAAAGCTGGAAAGTTAGTTTCTCACTCAGATTAAGTGAAAAATTTTATTATTACTTTTATAATTTTCTATTCATTTGCGATAGAGGAAACCGTAGTCGAACTATTCATTTTCATGAGAAAAATTCAAACAAAAATTCAAGGGCTACATTAAGTTGGTTTCCATGACAAAAGCCGTCTATTATAATATCAAGGCTGTTTTTTTTTTTCAAACCAAAAAGATACATTTACGCACTAAGCAATCAGTTTGTCAAGCAATCAGTTTTTCTCTATGAGAAAACCTGATTGTTGGACATTCAAGCAATCAGTTTAGTTTTTCTCTATGAAAAAACCTGATATTCAATTAAGCCGGACGTTGTGGTAGAACGAGCGACGGATAGGTTAACCGTCGCCAATACCATTCGTACCAAAAACTTAGTGACGAGAAATACCTTCTGTTGCGGACTATTTCGTGCTTTTGAGTGCAACTGTTGGTTAATTGAATAGCAGGACACGGTTTCTGGAAAGAAACCAGTACAAATACAAAATTTTATACAAAAACAAAAGGTTATTGAATTTATAAACAATATTCGCAAATAATAAAGTAATTACAATGGCTTTCTAAACGACAAAGAAATATTCAAACAAGAGAACTAGGCTTACCAAAATTCGTTCCTGATAGTTCGGTCTTTACTCTGCAGGTGACAAGTGGCTAATGAGCGAAAATGTTCCGCAAGACCACGGAATTAAGCTACTACTCTAAAGCAAATGTTGCGTTCACAACAGATATTATGGCACTCGATCTCTCTCTTGAGTTTTCGCGTTCGCCTTTGTTTTCAATTTACCTTAAATTTTATACAACGTGGTCAAGACGTATAAATAAATATCAAAGCAAGTCTATTCCCTACTGACTTCAAATTAAATATGGAGAATAGATAGTTTTAACTTTTTTGCTGTGTTGTTCAAATTAGGTTATAGATCAAACTTTTAATTTCTAAATTACAAACGTTTTTTTCGAATTTAATCGTACAATGATTGCAATTTTACTTTACAGCAACGAAACTTTCAGTGTGCATTAGGTTTCACCGTTTGTCTGGTACGATTCAAATATATGTGGTTCACGAAAGAGTTAGTATGGACCAAAAAAGTATGCCACTCTACGAACTCAACTAATATCAGTTGTGAATAAGAGTGATATGGGCCAAATGATATGAATGAGATGCCGGTCATACGGATGAGTTGACAACAACCTTACATCGACTACACAGAAATTTCTATCAATGTCCTAACTAGTCGGGAGAATTTTTGCCTCGCCCGTGTTCGATGATGGCGGGTAAATAGAAAGTTTGCCTAGAATAGATAATATTGATAATAATGATAATAATTATTATTCTTTTTCTCTATCATTGGATGGCAGTTGCATTCCATAAGATTTTCGCTTGGCGAACGATGAGTGTTTATGACTGTGTCCGTAAAGATTCTGGAGCAATGATCAAAGAAAGTTAAACATGACGTCATCTAGAATAGAGGCTTCAAACTTCCATGAACGACGAAAACATCACGAAAAACTTACAGATAGTGCTACACTACGTCTAATTTAGGATATAAATGAATAAATCTCACTAGGTGGAGTCCCTTACAAAATTTTGACGCAAAAATTTATTTCTGCTTAGAAATAGATGCTGGCTAGGACACGGGGGCTCGTAAATTAGCCACTCCATGTCAGCTTCGGTTAATGGTTTTAGGAGTAGATTTTGGGCAGCTTTCTAGCTCGGTATGACTAGGCTCGACCTACCCTTATCCTACTCCGCGGCGATTACATAGTCAGAAAGGAGATTCTGACAGAAAGTGATTTAAATCGGGTGATCAAGCAGACCCAGAATACTTTTGCGCCTATTGTGTTGCTTCTATTCGGCTGAAGCCTAAGTAGTCCACGAAGATTTTTGATAGGGGTAGCCGGGTGAATCACTCGGAGAATTTCTAAATATATAGTTATTGATAAGCCCTCTGAACTCGTTGCTCTCTATTTATGTTTAAGGCACCTCATATGGTGAAGATCTTGTCCCCAAACTTGCAACATGTAAATGCCGATACTTCGCAACATAAGGAATAGGAAAAGAAGGTTCATCTCGGTGCAGCTTTTTTCAAATAGTATTTCAAGATTGTATAGTTTTTGTGCTGCTTTCAAGTCCCCAATCCTGTTTGATGATGTCAGAGGCTTTCTCGGCAATGACGTAAACGGTAGCCATGGTGTTGGTGGAGACCACCTCCGGCATCACCGAGGCGTCCACGACACGAAGGCCCGACACTCCACGCACGCTGAAGGTGAAGGAAAACGTCTTTAATAAAACTTCAATCCAAATTTTAGGTGCAACGAACTCAACTTTGCTAAAGTGAGAAACTGATTGTTCGTTCTTCGCTGAAAGAAAACAATTGTTCCTTCTTCGCGAAGCAAACTAAATTCCGCAAAAGTATTTTCAATTAACCTAGTGCGTTCCCTATGATTCGAATTAAAATTTACAAAGTTAGCCAATCGGGTGCCTTGCAATTTTATTCATCACCTGCACTCTAATATTCTTCGGATAAATAAATGGATAAATAAAGCATATATGTAACTATTACTAAGAGCATGAATGAAAGATGTCGATTCATTCACCTGAGCCTGGGAGACACAACGCCCATTGGGTCGGTCGGCGGTGCCATTTTTGCGGTGCAGCAGAAGTGCTCGTTGGGCAGCGCCATGTGGCGGGCGTAGCACTCCCAGTAGCCGTCGGTCTTGTTGCCTAAATGCGCGCACGCCTTCAACGTCTGTGAAATAAAATAATTATAAGTGGCAAATTGGTTATAATATTGCACTGAAAGCTCATTGAAAAAAATTTAGGTATCATAATAGCATACTTTAGATAGCACAGAAAGTATTTAGATAGCATACTTTGACTTTATATAGCATACTAGCTGATTTCCGCAAAATTGTCCATGTTTCCGCATACATTCATCAGAGTATCGGCGCAGAGATACCTAAATGCGCGCACGCCTTCAACGTCTGCAACAAATAATGATGCATCACGATCTGAGATAAAAACTGAACTAAATTATCAACTCCAAGTTAAATATTCTTTTACGTTGCTAATTATGTACAAACATCATAGACAAGTCCTTCTGATTATTCTTACCAAATCCGGCTGTTGATCCAGTATTTTCTTCATGGCTTTGGAATCCATGATGCGGTGCAACTCTTTGATGGCTAATGAAACGACGAAACAATTGAATTATTTACGTGTTCATATTAGATTAATGAATAGTTAAGATTAGATTAAATTGTTTCACTGACTTCTTAAGCTAGACTTTCATTGTTGACGATCCAACCTCTGTAGTGGCTGAAAATTTTGAACTGAGCCGTGACGCTACAAGTATACTAACCCTTCACGTGCAGTTTGATGTCATCAGGATGATCGTAAATATTGTGTTTGATAGCAGGAGGTTCGGCGGGGTCTGGCGATGTGATGGTGATATATCCTCTACTTTTAGGGCGACAGAGCATCACAAACACGTTGAGGACGGGTTCGTTGATCAGTGGACCAATAGTCTGAGTATTAACCTGTGGGGATCGTTAAATTTTGTAATGGGTTAAATAAATCGAACGGTAAGGCAAAAATACCAAAAGTTGTGTGCGTCCTTCGACCCTTGTGCTGTTAGCTGATAATGTCTTAATCAAATTTGAAACATAAATTTTCAAACCGAGGATAATAATAACACATTAAGATAAAAGATATGACAATATCACGTGACACGAGCGTACACCTTAATAGTGCATAGCTTTGAGGTAGCAGCTTCGCACCTCCGTCGAGTCTTTTGGCATGACTTTTCCCCATAACTCAAAATGATGTTATTTTGATACATATAATTTATTTAAATAATGCATTCGTTACTGGAACCAACGAAAAAGACTGATTGGGAACACGTTCAACAGGAAGGAGTTGAAGATAATTGCTTTTTACGCCGTATCACACTCTAATAAGAGCTAAGCATGAACATTGTATTAAAATGTATCAGAGGATCGTGTCTACAAATTTAAGGCGGCTGCAAAACGACCTAAAAATTTAATTTTGCAGGTACGGACTTATAGATACGGGGGGTAAAAGTAGCTGAAACTCCAATGGAACATGAAACTTTTATAAGCGTGTGATCTCCAATTTCCTATGCGGTTTGGAAAGTTGTCACCATACGCTAGTTTTCTGTTTGGACAGTTATGTAATTTGGATGATAAACAGGAAGTCGAGCAACCTGTTAATCACAGCTACTCTAATATTTGGATAAAAAGCACCCTAAACCTCGCGTTCGTCAGATAATTCATCAATTACCAGCTAATAACTTGACACACTATGCACAGAGCAACGATTTCTCACGTCAGAAGGTCAAAAAAACACTAAGATTTATCACCAATACACGCTGGTCCAACTTCATACCCTCAAAAACATTACACAACCACAAATGCACTACTGCACATTGCTCCATCAATAAGCACGTAAAACCTACTCCACCATCAGAACAAATGACCCACAGCTCTTCAGCTAAATAACGTATCTACCAGTCACCATCGAAAGGCGACATGAACTATCCAAAAGTTCCAAATTACGGGCTCTAGGTTGCCCACCTCCTGTCTCTTATACACATCTAGATGTGTATAAGAGACGAGTTTAGATCTATGAACAAGGCACGAAAAGGAAAAGAATCGGCGACAGGCCACATCAGGCCTACACTTCAGCGCCGACATCACTATGTTATGTTATGTTATTCGAACCGCCGAGAAAGATTGACTGAGAACACGTTCAACAGGAAGGTGGTGAAGGTAATTGCTTTTTACGCCGCAGTGCCTCCACATTCTAGTAAGAGCTAAGCATGAACAAAGTATTAAAATATATCAGAGGATCGTGTCTACAAATTTAAAGTGGCTGCAAAGGACCTGAAAATTTAATTTTGCAGGTACGGACTTGCAGGTACGGAGGGTGAAAGTAGCTGTAACTCCACAAGAAAATGAACCTTTTTTTAGCGTGTGATCTCCAATTCCCCATGCCGTTAGGAAAGTTGTCACCATAAGCTAGTATTCTGTTCGGATAGTTCCTATGTAATTTGGATGATAAACAAGGTGTCGAGCAACGTGTGAATCACAGCTACATGGATATTTGGATTAAACGCACCCTATGTCTTGCATTTGTCAGATAATCCATCATTTACCCGCCAATAACTTGGCACACTATGCACAGAGCAACGATTTCTCACGTCAGAAGGTAAAAAAACACTAAGATTTATCACCAATACACGCTGGTCCAACTTTATACCCTCAAAAACATTACACAACCACAAATGCACTACTGCACATTGCTCCATCAATGAGCACGTAAAACCTACTCCACCATCGGAACAAATGACCCACAACTCTTCAGCAAAATAACGTATCTACCAGTCACCATCGTAAGGCGAAATGAGCTATCCAAAAGTTCCCAATTACGGGCACTAGGTCGCCCACCTCAACCCCTGTCTACACAACTTACCACGCATATACAACCTGTATGGGTCGCCTGCTGAAGACCACCAATGCCCTGGATGTAATGGACTATCATGATTCCTGTCTTCCGGAACGTAGCCTTCAACACTTCAAGCCGTCCGTATATACGTAAGTCGTGGATCGAACCAGCCCTCGGTCGAACGGCCACTCGTCGAAGGACGATAAATTTTGGAACAGAACTCTGCTATCTGAAACCTAACTTTAGATACGGTGAACGTAAAATTACGTAATTTAGCGATGCCCGGAAGTCATATTCGATCCGCGGCCTGGTGGTGCACGGCAGGTGGTGGTCAAGGCCGGAAGAGGACAAAGCCGAGTGGTGCACGGCTAATTGGTGTAGGTCCGGAGAGATCATAGGCGTTCGATTTAGGGCTTGTTGGTGCACAAAATTGGTGGTGCACGGCTGCGATCCCATACAACCTATACAGCAGGACATGCTGCATTCGGACGTCAGTTTGCAGCCAGCCTTGGACATCGTATAGCTCATGGTTGAACAAATGATAATATAGTTCAACCATAGTATAGCTGGTCCAACCACGACCCACATAAAATTACCAAAAACACTATTCAAGGACTGCTTCACTGGTCGTCACATGTGAAATGATACACAGTACTGATCGACGACTCAGAGGTTCTACCCACAACGCGAATCTCGAGCGATTGATTTGACACCTCTTAACATGATCATCTCATCACCTAAACCATAAAAATTTATAGGCACAGAGATATAAAAATGAATGTAAACACGTATCATTATTCAGAGAGCACGTATCATTATTCATTATTATTTTTTTATTGAATGTTAGCATATATAAATTAAGCAAGTGAATTAACCCAACATAAACCTTCATTCCGCCGTGCAAACCTTCCGAAACCATGACAGATTTTATTATCCCAGCATATAATGCAACCAACAAAAATTACAAGCAACCAAATCCTGCACATCGCGCCTATTTCTATCATTTGTTTTTCATCCTTATTTTTTTGCCGTACTGTACGACCTCTTTTTTCCACTCTTTCCTGGTGGCACCGAATCACCACAATGGTCATAAATGTGTAATTCAACACATATAAACATGAATACATTCACTTACGGGCGACTACCTAATCTATTCTTGCGTATAAACCTGAACGACCTAGAGGTCCCACGATAATACAATTAAGGTTCAATATGATCAACAATTATGTTTTTACAGGGTGAAGAGCAGCAATATACTGTAAAGTTCATGGTAGTGTTTTTTGCATATGATTTGCATTAAATTTCCTACTAACAGAAATGGTATTTAAGAAACAGATGATAGAGAGCACTGAGGGTAATTTAAGAATGCGCAGCACATATGGTCCTACTATTAGAAACAGGACTGAAAACAAGGAAATAATTTTAATTTTCTTATAATGTATAATGGTTACATCGAATAAAATAAGTCACTGGAAACTGGTAGTGCTTTAATTTGAGTAATATGATCATCATCTATGATCAACTTACATTATGATAATCTATTTCACAACGAACTAGAGAGAATTCAAAGGACTAACCTCATCAGTGTAGAATGGGATTGCGAAGCCGATGGAAGGTGACATGTACAAGTCGACATCTGGCCTACGCGGGTCTCCTCCTCCGAGGTTGAGGTAGGTGTGCATCAGTGCAGAGTGCGGCAGTGAATAAAAACCTAGATGAGATATAACTTAGATTCAGAGGTGAGCAGTAGCGCACTACATGTAGCGGTAGCGGCACTACATTAAAGCAATTGTAGCGGTTGTGGCAGCGGTAGCGCCTGCTACATTTAAAGCATGTAGCGGTAGCGGTAGCGGCCGGTAAATTTCAAAGTAGCGCTGCACAGCTCTGCTTAGATTACCAAAAGACATTTCTTAACACGTTTATTGCGGCACGAACCACCGGTGGGTCGTAACACCGGTATAATACGCCCTGAATTCGACACGCTTAACGTGTTAAATTTTAAAATTTTGTAAAACCAACTATTCTAAAATTTACATGTTTTTCAAATGTAGCATGTATTCTTAAAAATTGGATGCTTTTACAAATTACACGCATCATGACTCTCTTCTCATTTTAAAGTACTCAGTTTGAAAAGTATGTTTTTCAGTAGCATATAGGCTCAAGTGAACGAAAGATTCCCACTGATTCACTCTGATGAAACAACTGTCTTAAATTTGGGTGTTCAAGGACATCGTGCATTCGTTAGCCCAGCAACAGTCCATCTGCTGAAAAAAGTTTAGAGATTTTTATCTCGTAAAATAGATTTCTCTCGGAAACCACACATATATTCGATTAAAAAACCAAATGCAGAAGCAATGAATTATTCACTCTCAGGAAAATTAGCTAAATCCCATATACCATTAATCAATTATTTAATATCATTGCCACAATGTTTCCTCGAATTAGACGTTGTATGACATTTTCAATCCTATTATATCTAGCGTGACTTGTTGAAATGGTCGCCCTTATCATCCTATACGAATTCCCTCTGAATTTAATTTTGAATTAACATCCGAATACCACATCGCGCATACACGACGTAAGTTCGTAATAAAAAAATATAACTCGGTACTCACTGCAGTGAGTGACAGAGAGCGCATTTTCTCGTCGACGAAAACGTGAAGTCACGGACGGACAGACAGACGGACAGATGGACGGACAGACGGACATGGCGAGCACAACAGTGCATTTTTTCCATAAATGAAAAAATGCGCTAAAAAGTTAAAGGAATCAAATTATCAGTTAACACAATCTTTTTTTCTTGAAGTTACGCCAATATTAATTATTCTTATTTCATTTGACAAAAATTAAGTTGCAGAACGAAAATACGCTGAAAAAAAATTCTATTTTCTACTTAGTTCCGACATGAGATAAACACTTAACATTGCATTACGCTTGCCTGTTTGGTCCTTGATATATCTGGCGACGTTGAGAGGATTGAGGAAATCGCCCATTGTGTAAGACAGTCCGGGTTTGATCTTCCAATTCAGTCCCAAGTGCAAATGAGCGTCCATATTTTGCCCAACGCCTTCTACATCAGATACCACTGCAATCTGTAAACAATTTTTTTGCTAATCAGCAGGCTATTTGCATATGCGATAAAATGAGAATCCTTATTCTTATTCATTTTTCTTTTTGTTCATTATTCATTTTTATTATTATTATTTAATTATTTTTGTGAAGGCAAAATCAAAAATAATTATGCAATTATTCATTTTTCTTTTTGTGAGGGAGAATTATTCCTGAAATGACGCTGTCCATAATTCCCCCATAAATTAAAGCTTCAAACTTTTTATGTTTGATGTTCAAAAATTTTCGGTCACCATGAACGTTATTCACCATCACTATCAGGTTTCCCCTTTGACTGAAGCGGTAATCTTTACTCACCCCCAATTCCTCAAGTACTTTCCTTGGTCCGATTCCAGAAAGCATAAGAAGTTTTGGAGTCAGAACGGTGCCGGCGCTTAGGATCACTTCTTTCCGAGCATCGACTATTTGGTTCTGGTACAAATTAAGAAGTCATATTCTAAATCTGATATAAAATTTATTGAACGACGAATGATAAAATTGTTCTATGCTGTTCTCTTAACACTCTACCGCCTTATGTCACTCACCGGGAACATAACTTTCAACTTAAATTATACGTAAACTATTGAGTGTAGCAGCCTGAGTACGTTTGTACGCAACAGAGAACATTTTAAAGTTGTTGTACGTGGCACCGTGGCAGCAACCATCAGTGCAAGTCATTTTGCGCTCACTAGAACGTATCCTTTGTGGGAAGTAGGCGCGTGAAAATATTGCTCCGGTTACTCGCGTCAGGCGGTAGAGGGTTAAATATGCAACTGTTCCCCATGGTATTCATACGAAAGTGACTTGATATGATTAACAAACCGACCGTAATATAAAAAAATCACAGCATTAATATCTGGTAGAGAAGTTAATAAAGTTAATATGTGAGAGATATATTCAAAGATTTATAGCCTGAGAGACGTTCTTCTCTGCTTGAAATAATTACCTTTCCTTTGAAAGTATACTGAACTCCCACCGCTTTCTTATCTCGGTTAAAGAGTATCTGTTGAAGAATATGGAATGAAATAATTAATTTACTACACTGATATGTTTACATTCTCGAGATATAAAATACTGCATCCTTCATAAACAATAGTAACTCATACAGTCTGAATGAAGCATAAGTACTGAATAAACATACGTCGTTATTTGTTTAATTTAACAAATGCAACAAGCTTTAACGCAGACAATTACTATTGTTAAGAGATTAGGGATCGAATTTAATCTGGGGCCATACTTTCAAAACTCGCTAAGTGAACGTAAGTACTTACGCTCTATTTTCTTGTATACGATTAGTGGATTTTGCTTGAAAGGCCGTCAATGATTGGCTGACAAACTTACGATCTCTTAACTTTTTTTTGAAAGTATGGCCCCTGGTCCCCAACTCTACACTACAAGGGGATGAAATCGCCTGGATTGACTAAAACGATTACGATGACGAAGAATAATTTTAATTTTCGTCTTCGAAATTTAATTTTTTTCTTAAAATAGACATTTTTAATTTTCTTATGATGTATAATGGTTGTATCGGACAAAATAAGTCAATGGAAACTGATAGTGTTTTAATTTGAGTAATATTTCCTGAATTCTCTTCATTATTGCGCAGGAAAAAATCGGCCATTGATAATCTTATTTCAATTTTACACCGTTCTCATCAATATAGTTAATAAACTTCTAGAGCCCACTTATTCCGATTAATGTTTCGTGTAACATTTTAGTTCTCACTTCTATGATTATAATTAGTTATACTCGGTGTCATATATTCCAGAATATTCTATTATATCGCACCTTATCAACCCTGGCGCCAGGTAAGATGTGTAGATTCTTCCTGCCAATGGCTGGCCTCAGGAAAGCTTCCGATGCAGAAGCCCTCACACCGCCCCACACAGTGTTATGAACTGGGGCAAATCCTGGCATGGGGCATAATCATAGTTGAACTATATAAGGCTGACCCACCGCCCCACATAGGGTTATGAACTGGGGCAAATCCTGGCATGGGGGCATAATCATAGTTGAACTATATAAGGTTGACCCACCACCTCACACAGTGTTGTGAACTGGGGCAAATCCTGGCATGGGGCATAATCATAGTTGAACTATATAAGGTTGACCCACCGCCCCACACAGTGTTGTGAACTGGAGCAAATCCTGGCATGGGGCATAATCATGGTTGAACTATATAAGGTTGACCCACCGCCCCACACAGTGTTGTGAACTGGAGCAAATCCTGGCATGGGGCATAATCTTGGTTGAACTATATAAGGTTAACCCACGAAAAATTCCGTCTTTCAGTTCTGCTTTCTTGTTACGTCACGTAGATCGAGAAACGTAAACAAACCCGTCATTCCCATGACTGATTCTTTGACTGGATTGATCGCATTTCGGTGATTGGTTAATCTGTTAAACTGAGATCAGTGACGTCACAGGCGAAAAACAAACTACATCCGCAAAAATGAGCATCTGATGGGTCAACCTTATACTAGTTCAAACATGGGGCATAATACTTCTTAGCACGAATAAAATATAATGCTCATGGACATTTTTGCATCATTAAAATCAAGCTATTAAATTATTTTATTAACAAATGATATTGTTATAGATGCAGGACCTGATATGATAAAATGTTAGGTGCATATAATTAAGTTCTTGAGAATATGATTTAACTTTTGGAACGTCATGCAATAGTATGTTGTCTCCGCTCTTAGTAATTAACATGCAAGTCAAATGGAGGTCCTGACCAAAAAAAGGAAAATAAAAAAGACTTAAATGTCTTGTGAGCTCGACATTTGTGAACAAATAGTGGTTAAATAAATTCGGGCAGTGAATGCGCTCTCTAACCCACCATCTATTATTCCTACATTATTTCATTATTTCAAGCCAAAAATTTTAATCGTGAAAATGGTGTAGCTTTACCTGCATTTTTCATACAACTAGTCAGCCAATGTCCTTGATATATTCAGGTATGGTTCATATTCAGGTATGGTTTAAGTCAAAGTAAGCACATCATAGTATCAAAAATAAATATTAGATTGATACAAATAAATCTTATCTTGCCTAACATGAAGATGAAAATAGCGTGAAATTTTGAGCACCTAAAATTTGAGACTTGAAAATTTTTCAAAAAATCACTGGTATTAAAAATCTGGATTTAGTAGACTAGCCAGGGCAGCTAATTACATGCATGCATGGGTGGTTTGGACAGCGTTTGTGAGGGAGGTGGGACTCGGAAAGTGCGGCCAAAATTATTGAGAGAAAAATAAATATAAATAAATATGAAGGAGTTTTTTTCTGGTTTTCGTCGATATATAATGTGCCGATTTTACTTAATCACATGGACGTCATAGTTACGAGGATTTGTTTAAACTGTTCGATGGACTTCTTCAGAAATCCTTGAACCATAGAAGAATGGTTTTTCTCATTTTAAATTTCTCGACAACCCGCAATGAAGTGAAGCTGCGGCGGTAGGTGTCGAGCGAGATCGTGATTACTAAAAAGAATAACCGGACAACGATTGACTGTAGCTAGTAAATTGAACTTACTCATAGATTTAAGTGAAGCCCTGTTTTGTTACGTGAGCGAGCAATTGCGGTGCATTTACCTATGTTATTTGGGCCGTTGGGGTACATCGGCAATGATCAAGCAACTCTTCAAGGTCACAGATTCCTATGAAATTACATTGGTCACTTAGGAAAGGGGCCCATATTTAAATTATGAATTCTTAAACATGGGAAAAACCTCGTTTATGTTGAAATTAAAATTTATCCTTCTTACCTATGTTATCTGGGCCGTTGGGGTCTATAATGTCGAGTCCCAGTTCCTCAGCGACGGGACGGATAAATTCTTCCATCTTGGAGACCTCGCTTGTGGTGTCGACGAGCATAGGCCCTCCTTTGCCGTGGTATTCATCTAAGAAGAATTAATAGTTGATATGAATTTGCTGTGCATGATTACAATTATCAGCGTCTGTCGTACAGTGTAAAATAACGTGAAAACAAAATACAAATGATAAAGAATAAATAAATAATAACTTCTGGTAGAGTGGTAATTTAAAAAAAATACTGTATTCAATTAATAAAATATCTACAGCTCGATAAAAAAAATGTGTCCTACGTTAGTCATTTTTGTGACTCAATATTATATGAAGAATCGCCAACATGGAAAACCGAGAATTATGGAGTGTTATCGGTCATATATAGAATTCGCTTCCTCGAATTTTCGGCCCACTTGAACAGAAAATATCAACGCTAAGAACAGTCTTGGGCGCAACGGTTTAGAGATTAAATAACCGCACGCAGGAAAATTACTGATTTGGTAGGTTGGATGATGGCCATCGCTTGAATACCTTCATCATTTTCAAGCTACACGCATTATCCGAACAGAAATCTGGTAACGACAAGGCTTCTACCCCAGTCACTAGACTTGGCTTATGGCCATGCATGCTGGGTCTGCTCGGGCACCCCTTCATAATCTGCTGCTGGTCTGAATATTCTTTTCTACTTTATAGTGTGTTAATTGAGAGTATGATAAGGTTAAGAGCAAGCTTTTTAGAAGCTCGCAAGCTTGCAAGCTTCTGGTGGCTGCGCCTAAAGCCCTATCAAAGCTGAGGTAGAGCGGCTGATTTACATACTCCCCGAGTCCATGGCGGACCTTTAACTTGGGGGACCTGCATCCTAATTTTGTCAGGATACCCGAATAAAATTTTCCAGTTTACCGCCTCCTTAAGAAATCGAAGATTCACCTGAGTGTTTTGTTTTTGTTCCTCTGAAGTCCTCAGATTTTTTAAAATAAGGCAGGAGCGACGCATGGTCCCAGCCTGGGTTGCCGAGGGCGCTCCAGTTATCGTAGTCGAGTTTGGCGCCGCGGACGTAGAGCCCAAAGTTGATGGTCGTACCGCCACCCATCACGCGTGCCACGATCATCGGGATGGTCTGCTCACATAAAATAACAAACAATTCATGAAAAATAATGCGAGGGAGGGAAGAGGAAATTGGCTTCAGCTAATTACTGATACATTTGCTCAACTTCAACCCTAGAGACTACGCGGATGACTGCATTCGTAAGCTTTAATGCATAAACATTGAGGTGAAGTCCATATTCATTGCACAGACACAATTTTACTGAGCACTGATTGAAAAATTTTCGATCAAAATCTATCAATGTCGCTTTGAGTGCATGTACTCCCAATAGCGTAGGCTTATTTTTCGTTCATGAAATCGACTTAGCAGTGATTATATAATTGTTTGAAAATGTGTTCCAGGCTTTTACAAGACATGTTGCTTCTGAAAATTTAGGCTTCACAGTAATGTTAAGCTTGGATGATACTTTCAGCAGCAGTTCGGCAATGAGCTCGACCATACTATGTACTCTATGATTTTTGTAATTGTTTTCAGTTTTATAGTTAGGCGATTGAACAGCTTGCAATTTTCAGAATTCGGAAATGCATCAATTTAGTATGCTGTTTTCTTTCTCGCAAAACAGCATGCCATTATGTTTTTTGTGTAGTGACTCGTACGCATATATACGCATCCTTTTTGTGGGATACGTTTCGTCGGCTATGAGGTATTGGTTAGTAAACAGCTCTGTTTTTGTCTGTTTCATCTTCAACTATAAGTCCAACAATAATGTGAAAGAACGCATCATGTATATATTTCTCTTCAATTCCCTGCTTTCCTTGTTTTTTTCTGCTATTTTCTGAGTTTATCTCCAGTTAATTTACAGCAAGTCGTTGCAAAGATGTATTGAAACGAAGTACAGCAAAACCCCTCCTGAGGAAACCCCTGCCTTACCACCGAATCACCTTAGGAACCGTCAGATATGAAAAAAATTTGCTCCACTGTTCGATCGTGGGCTGTTGCACTACTCCATAGGCTCTACAAAAAAAACAGTAAATCTGTTAACCACGCTAATTAAAAACCATCGATTAATAACCATCGATGATGAATTGGACATCATCAAGAAACATGTGGCTGACATGCTAATTGTCGAATTGGTCAAGAATATGGCTGGAATTAAAGTACGATATCCACAATCTTGGGTCAGAATGATGCTTTAAAAATATTAGCATCTTCAAAACCTCAAAATATAAATAATATTTCGTCAGCCAAAAGTAAGAACAGTATGTTCGTGAAATGGGTGTTTGGGACTCCAGATAAGAATTTTTTGATTTATTTCTATCTGAAAAATGAGTTCGTTTTACGAACGAACTGCTTTACGAACCGAGTTCCTGCATGAATTGAGTTCGTGAAGCAGGGCTCCACTGCATATGTATAGACTATATATAGAGTGTCGTTCTAAAGTCCACACAGTTCTGCATGCTATCCATTGGCTCGGCAGCCATGGTACATGCGGATAAGCCAAGTGAAGGTTCGGTTACAGTTAGAGGTTTTAGGATTGCATATCTAAAATAGAATAGATTAGAAGTGTCGGCACTGAAGAAATAGGACCGTGGCCTGTTGCCGATTCTTCTACTTTTCGTGACTTGATTCCACAAGGGATCCGGGCCATACTTTCAAAACTCGCTATGTGAACGTAAGTACTTACGCTCTATTTTCTTGTCTATGATTGGTGGATACTTTCAAAGCTCGCTATGTGAACGTAAGTACTTACGCTCTATTTTCTTGTCTATGATTGGTGGATTTTGCTTGAAAGGCCGTCAATGATTGGCTGATGAACTTACGGTCTCTTAACTTTTTTTGAAAGTGTGGGTCCAGTTTTCTGTTCATATTAGCTTCACTCATAAATCGATATTTCTTATTTTATTTATCTTGGCAGGTTTATTCGTCATTTTGGTCTGAACTCTTTCGTATACTTGTGGCTTTAATCTATTTTCTGATCTGGTATTCTTTTAATTTTTGAACTGATGATGGAGCTTGTCACCGAAACGTTACCGAAGAAGATATGGTGGAGTTTTTTGAAGTTTTCTCGCTTTAAGTACTTAGTTAAAACTGAATTTTTTTGGTGACAAACTTCCTTTTCACAGCACAAACATTGAATTCGAAAAGGGACATCAGTTGAGCACGTGAGTAAACGGTAAAAAGACGTACCTCCCAATGCCGAAGGTACAATTAAACTTTTCCTACCTGGTTTTTGAGTCCCAATAAGGAGTTTTCACGTGAGGCGGTCTTAATCCAGCGAACGTTGTCCATGTCCGCGACGTATTGGAGGAACGCCAGTCTGGGTATTGCGGTCTCCAGGGTGGCCGACGGCCCTTCCTCCAGCAGCAGCACGCGGGCGCTGGTCTCCGAGAGGCGCGACGCTACCACGCATCCCGCGGCGCCCGCACCAACTGACGGGATTATTTACATGGAAGTCGAGTGATATTTTATATATATCGATTGAATAATTTGAGTGGTATTTTATTTAATAATCATAGCATTCAGTTGCATGCTGGCGCTGGTCTCTGAGAGGCGTGACGCTACCATGCATCCCGCGGCGCCCGCATCAACTGACGGGATTATTTACATGGAAAACGAGTGATATTTTATTTAATAATCAGAGCTTGAAGATAAAAATATCAGTTGTGCGCAGGCGCGGGTCTCCGAGAGGCGCGACGCTACCACGCATCCCGCGGCGCCCGCACCAACTGACGGGATTACTTATGGTAAAAAATTGAATGTGTTTCGCATAGAAGACGAAAGTGGACTACCGTGGACGCAATTATTCACATATAGAGAGATATTTTCATAGAGTCGAGAGATATTTTTACAGAAAAATCAGAGCTTGAAGGTAGAACTATCCACTGCAATAGGACACGGAATATTGACAAATAACTTGGCGTCACTTATCAACCCTTAATCATGTCAGAAACAAGCTCAGTGTCAGTGAATCGAATTAGTGGAGCGCCCAGCTATGTAACGGTCGGACGAAAATTTTTTCGGTCGATCAGTCTGTATCCTGCTCTCAGAACAATGGTTGGGTCAAATTGTCCAAGTAGTTACACATTTTCTGCGTGTAGCACTGATACGTCTTTTTTTTCTGGCCAAACTGATTCTATATTACCTCCATAAACGTATAAGCGCATCGCTATTACGACTAAGTAAATTTGGGTTTTATTAGTCTTAGGTCTCGAGCGGTCAATTAATGAGGGTTGGCGGTTGGATGCGAATTTAAATGAAGGTTGATGATGGGACGACTTCGATAGTAAACGAGGTCATGAACTGGGCTGGTGCCCTTAGCCCTTAAGAATAAGCCCGTAGAGTTTGGGGCATAAGGCTAGAGGGAGGGAGAGGAAATAAAGCTATATGGTATATTACCTGGTACTCTACTATTAAATATGCGTATAATATGAATAATATCATTAAAAACTGGATATCGGCTGCAGATCGGGAGCATTAGACGTATAACAACAGGGAAACGTCGGACGTCCAGTAATGAGCTGGAATATTAATGGCTCAATAGGATGTCCAGAGCGACAATTAATAAAGATAAGTTATCGTAGGCTTATTAATTTCTATAATGTAGGTTATCACCATCTTTGTATATGTTGTGCCGAAGTCGCGGAATTACCGATTCCATGGCATCGGCACCAGTTTGCCGAATCTGTGGAATCAGCATTTCGTTGCTGATTCAGAAAATGGGACGTCATTACATTAAAAAATTTTGTCTGACTGACCTATCCCCAGTTTCCTATAGTACATATATACAGATTCGACAGATTCGGTAAACTGGTTGCCGATTTCGCAGAATCGGTAATTCCGCAATTTCGGCACGACATATATATTTTTTTAAACTGATTTTTTTAGCTCTGATTTTGCTGGTTAGTAGTGCATTTCACCAACGATGAAGTCGTAGGCTCCTGTCGCGGGAAGGTCGGAGTCGAAGTCCTGAGGCCCCGCACTGAAGGTCAGGCTCAGGAAGAACCGCAACGCCTGGAGCACCAGCTCCTTACTAATTACGAGATAAAAGGCATAAAAATAATAATAAATAAATATAATTATATAAACAATAATAATAATAAAATGAAAATATTAATAAATTATAATAATAAAATAATAATAAACTACATTATTTTTCATAAATGTGGATAGTATCAAAATGCGCCAATATTCAAATCATGATCATAATTAGCCAATTTTTAGTTCAATTTACAAGATCCCTGTTTAATTTTTGTATTCTAATATTTGCATTGAACTTTTCACCTCTTTGCTCAGTTTGATTAGTACAGAGGGATGCATTAAAATTGACAAATGGTTACAGATGCGGTGAATGATTGTTGAATGCATAGCTTGCGTAACTAAAATAAAGCCTTCATCATACAACGTAGTAGTAGATTGTAGCGTTTCCCTCAGTGCCCCCTCACTTTGTGGGAGGACTTTCTTAATTTTTTTCACTCAAAACTAAACTTTATTCGACCCACTATCATCGGGATGCACTGGAATTGCACACCATAGTCTCCCTCGTACGGTTTTCGGTCAGACAAAAAACTAGTATCACCACATACGCTGACTATCAGCAACATTATCAAAATTAAAAATAATCTTTATCAAAATTTGAAACATAAATAATGCTACATTGACGTACGGAAGCAAAACGTATAACGTGAGAATCAAATCTTCTTCATGAAAAATGCACCTTTAGAGACGTTTTATTGGCTGAAAATAGTCGTATAAAATTCGATAGATAACAGTAGAGCGTCTAATATAAACATTAAAACTATAGTCAGGTGGTGCACACGATAAACTCTAGTTATTGGGGTACGATCAGCTTCTAAATTGATTTCATCCGTCACGTTTTAAAAACGTCATTAAATGAAATATTACGACCATCAATAGTTTTTTACGATATTCTCAGAATACTGCAATAATACAAAACTAAACACCAGATAAAAACGGCAACGAAATTTTTCTTCATTTTATATGGGAGCTTTCTCTCTTTCCTCTAGTAAAAGTTTAGCCAGAGACGCAACCGGTCGTCGGTGCGTTATTTTAACTTATTGCCACGATTTGGCACTCCATGAATTTTTTAACAAACGCAAATATTTATTACGAATATTGTCTGATACAGGAATAAGAATTTATGCCTGGTATAAGGATCAGTGATAAACCTGCTTGCAGCGGGGTTTGGACGTTTGACTCTCAGCCTAGATTAAAACTGTTTAATTGCAGGTCACTTGATAATTTAAACCCGAGAAAAACGCTGACAAACTTATATAACGCCAAAAATCACTAGTCACGTTGTTAGTCCCATGAAGAAAATATTAGATTTACGATTTTTTTCACGAGAGTATGGACGCTTGTGAAACTGAAAAAAAACTAACGGAATATGGCAAAATTAATTTTATTTTATAAATTCCAATTAGGACTTAGGCGACTCAGATATACAGTGTTGGAATTTTCTGTGTTCAAAATGTATGATTTCCAAATATATAAGCAGGACAGAACGCATAACAGACGGACAAGCGGCTCGGAAAATTGAAATGTTAGGCAAGCATTTGTTTTCGTTAAAAGAAAGTCATTTTTAAAACATAGCTTTATTTTTATTCCTTAAACACTTGGTATATGACATTTTAATATCACACACCTTGTAGAAGAGGGCTTGCACCATTAGTGCTGTTATTTTGCCATCGCAGACCCCGATATTTCGGTTAATTTGTTTGTCATTTTATTAATACTTCATTAACAAAATATGTTTTTGTGCTTCCATGATACTATTTAGTGCTACGACGAAACTGTTTTGTGCAACAGTGATACTGTTTTGTGCTACGACGATACTGTTTTGTGTAACAATGATACTGTTTTGTGCAACAATGATACTGTTTTGTGCTACGATGATACTGTTTTGTGTAACAATGATACTGTTTTGTGCAACAATGATACTGTTTTGTGCTACGATGATACTGTTATGTGCAACAATGATACTGTTTTGTGCTACGATGATACTGTTTTGTGCAACAATTATACTATTTTGTGCTACGACGATACTATTTGTACTACGACGATACTGTTTTGTGCAACAATGATACTATTTTGTGCTACGACGAGACTATTTTGTGCAACAATGATACTATTTGTGCTACGATGATACTGCTTTGTGCAACAAGGATACTATTTGCGCTACGATGATTTTTTTTGCTACGACAATACTGTTTTGTGCAACAATGATACTGTTTTGTACTACGACGATACTATTTTATGTTACGATTATACTGTTTGCTTACCTGATGTACAGATTTGCAGCCGAGATGAAGAGAGCCAAGCTTGTAATGCAAAGCAATGTCTTGAGTTGGCGTCGTGAGAACACATCCCCAAGCATCTTTAAATCCGTCGTAAGGAATCAAATCCTATCAATCAGACGTTATATTGAAAATAAATGCATTCACTGGCTCTGAAATCATTGAGCAGAAAATGAGCATTTGTAGATATCTTCTTATGGCGAAATGTAGCATCAATTTCGCCATAAGAAAGTACATATACAATAAGTCTCACTTGAATGTTTTAAATAAAATTTGATCATTAAATTCTTTCCGTCAATGAGCGTAAGTGAATCATCAATAGACGTAAATGATTTGAAGTATTGTCAATAAAATGAGATGCATGTCATACTAATGCTAAACGCCAGCTTCATTAGTTTGAAGGCAAAGATTGCTCTTCTTGGGAGACCAAAACATTTGCAATCCACGTGTTTTTTGTTACAAAATGAGACAACAATATACGCCTAATAAGTAATTGGCAGTTCTCATAAATACAACGGAATTATGTTCGCTGGAAAGCTGCATGACAGAACAGGTTTTCACATGCAGCAATATGATAGCACACTTTAATTTCGCGAGGTTTCAGCCTAACATTTATTATAGTGAATTATGAATTAGGTTTTGTGGGTTATAATCAAATGACCACAAAACCGAGATACTGGGTCATGCTATGAGAGTGGACGTTCAATGCTATAATTTTAAAATTTAGATTTAGTTCGGTGAAATTTAGCGAAATTTGCTAAATCACTTCATTTTCAAACTAGTAAAATTATCTCGTTAGATTTTCGCAAGCAAAAACTTGCATTAAGCCCAAATTCAGGAGCAATGTTTATGTATTAAATCTTTCGAGCAAATTATCACTAATGAAACATTATTTTCAACGCTAGCCTCATAAAATTATCAGCAAATCTTGCCAGAAGCACAAGATTCCGTTCACTCAAATAGTTAATGTCACTCTTTGTTTTGCAATTATTAAGAGGAAATTGATGGAAATTGTGAAATTGTTTCGGATGCAAAAAAAAAATGATGGCAAAACAACACATATGTATACTCTTGCATTTTGTAGTATTAGGAATTTTAATTAGCCTATATGTATAGTATACTATCAGAGGCAATTCAGTTTTTAGTTTTCTGCCTCATCACGATAATTTTTTTCGTCCAGTTCTTTCCTTTTCTTAATATTATCGATCAGTATGTTTTAGTAGCCTTCAGACAGACACGTGTGGCAACCAGGTTCTGCCTTAGCAGATAGTGCGGGTTTACAAACTGGTTAGGACCAGTTAATTTAAATTATAGTCTCGAACAATTCCATATTATTCTGGGATATTTCTGAACTTCTTTTCAACGTAAAAAAGGCCAAGGTAACTGTCGATGCATTTATATAAATATGATCTCAGGTACATATGTTTGCCCCACTGCAACTTTGGTACAAATCCAGAATGCACATTAAATTAATATTGATGCGGTCAATACAGTAGACACTAGACTTGCAATGAAATTTTCTCTAAAAACTGTTCATTTATGAGGCTTGTGGGTTGAGTGGATCGGATATAAAATTTTTATTCTACAAACTTAACTGAAAAAACGAACCATCTTGTTTGTCCACATATTGCGTTATAAAATATTGTCTATACGGAGTGAATATACTGTTTTTATTTGACACTTAATGTTGAGTAATATCAATAGAATTACAACGGGCAGAAAAGATTTAGTTAAATTCACTGCTATCCTGCTTGAAACACGAAAACATAACCGTGCATACTTGAAAGCCGGGGCTCCATGCATGGATCGTTGCCATGACTGAAAGCAAAATCCTGTTGCGTCCGGAAACTTCCGCAAATCCCAAGTTTATTTCACATTCGATTAAATATACATGAATTTGGTTCTCCAGGAACGACAATATAAAATGCCCCGCAGACACAACCTGTGTGAGCTTTTTATGAGAGTTAGCTCTCAGGAATCAATAAGATATTTGTTTTTCTATTTGTTAGAAGAAAAAATTGACCTTCGATTCCTAATTAATTTCACGTAATCACTATGAAAGCACTCGTATATTCAGTGTAAAACCACCGAACCAATCCTCGAGCCAGCCAATAACACAAACTTTTGTTTAGGTACTGAATTTCGCTCATGTATGATTTAATTCGTATGGCCATTGCCATTCGGGTTACATGAACCACCACCGCCAGAGGTTGGAGAAGCACTGGTTAGTTGTCAACTTCCAGCCTTCCAGGCCGGCGTGGTCAACTGTCTGAAAATGTTCATAGACTCCTAACTAAAGCTCCGTACACACGTTCAAACTTATCGTCAGTCTTGTATGTCATGCCAGGTTTTACCGACAAGATTGACGCTCAAAGTTTGACGTCTTGCATGACGGGTGGGCAGAGTTTGAGGTTTGACAAACCTGGAAAAGACGGACGGGCGAGACCTTTGGGTTCATGCAAGACTGACAATAAGTTTGAGTGTGTGGACGGGGCTTAAGACGCCATGCAGTGGAGTAATAAGCGCTAGTTTGCTCGTTCAAGTCTCTCAAGGTCATGTATCAAGGTCAAGGTCATGTATCAAGGTCTCAAGGTCAAGTCTCGGCTTGAGGGATATTTGACAGCCACAGTAGGCAATTCATCGAAGCTTCTTTCGTATCATTCTTCTTTAACTTATTAAACAGCTTTTATTGAACCCTTATTCCTTAACAAGAATTTGATATGTGATTAAAACCAAAAATAATAAGAAAAAATAAACCGTCAAAATATTTTTTAATTTTCTTTTCGTGCTTTTCATTGGGTTGATTTTCTTACCTACGTTGAATTTCTGAAGAAAAGCTTTTAACTCATACGCCTAAAAAAGAGGGTATTAAATGAACAGATGAACGATCATGAACGTGATGAAGGATGGGCAGATTGCGTGTGACAAAAAAATTGAGAAATCATTAAAATGATTGCGAGTCGTCAATTATTAAAGTTAATCAAGGCGAGTAAAATTTTTTGTGACAATTGCATTGGACTTTTACTAATCCTTCGTCAGTATGACTGGAATTCAGAATGGTGAAAGGTCATAAATGCCTACAGTGTTACCATAGATATTGCATTCAGGTGAATTTGAGTTGATGCCACCACCTCATTCTGGGAATGAGAAGTCTTCTTTATCACTAATTTATTACACAAAATTAAATTATTTCGGTTATTATCAACAAAGCGATGCGCAGCATGGTTTTCAGTTTGCGATTCCCGCTAGATTCTATCACCTCTAATCACGGACTAAGGTATATGGATGCAGTAATTTCTGATACTGTCTTAATAATTAAAAAACTTCATCTTGGGGCAAGTTTTCAGTTTAGGATTTTCAAACTTGTTCCTTTGTTAAATATCCCCAATCCTGCTTGATGATGTCGGAGGCCTTTTCAGCAATGACGTAAACGGTACCCATGGGGTTAGTGGAGACCACCTCCGGCATCACCGAGGCGTCCACGACACGAAGGCCTGACACTCCACGCACGCTGAAGGTGGAGGAAAGTATTTTAAATGAGTTTAATTGTAGCCCAAAACTTGATACAGCAAGAAAATTGTGATATATACACTTTTCTTTTACCGATGCAATTAATAATACTTACCGCACTGTGGAAAGGGGCCATTTTGCATGAATGTGCGGACACACTTTGAAACGGATGAAAATGAATGAGTAAGTTGGATATAGTGACCAGAAAGAAGAAAGGATAAAAAATTTAATAAGGAACCGACTGAAGGTTCTAAGTGCATAATAAATTGGCACCCAACACTCCCAGCTCGCTATAGGTGATGCAGTTTTAAAATAATTACTTTTCCATATTAAGTCTTAAGAAGTCAAAACTTGCTGCAGCAAGAATAGTTAGGGGATGAGGATTACAGAAGGTGTGATTTGCTGTGCAAGCCAATTTTTTTAATATACCCATTATGTAAATATCATGTGTGCCATTGTCCATCCATTGCAACTAACGATCCGAATGTGACATTGTTTGTGTCTATGTTTCTACGTGTATGTCCTAGGTTTGCGAGTATGTGCCTGTGGTTACGTACGCGTAAGTGCGGGTGTAACCTCCAAGAGACGAATGGTCACGTTCCGGGGAACAATCCTTGATTGTTCGCTACTGCCCCACTACTAGCCGGAAGTTGTCAACAGTATTACATCAGCTTGCCCAACAGAGGGCAGTTTTGCGGTACGCATTACCGTTCCCCGGGGCTTATATATATTGTGGGGAAGACAAATTAAAGTGCCATGAGAACGTTTGAGGGACCAAGGAGGTGCATTAGTGTGGCCTGTTACTCATCATCCACTACAAATAAGAAACTAATGAACTGAAATAAAACGACGTGAATATACTGCTTCTCCCTAACCAAATATAGATGCAAGCCCGACTCTGCAACATGTGCCGTCTAGGACTCGGGGAGTATGTAAATCAGTCGTTCTACTCGTACGTCCGCCTCGACTCAGGGTTTAAGATCTGTGCAGCTTACTAGCTCGGTATGTCTAGACACGGCCAACACCCCTAATCTCATGCCACTATAGAGTCGGAAAGGAACTGATTTCGACCGGCTGGCCGAGGATACAGTGAATAACTTTAAGCCGAATGTAGCGACTCCTGGTCAGAAGCCTAGACGGTGCCTCAATTTTGTTGGAGAATGCAATCCTAAACACGGTTACACTTGAAAATTTGAGGATGACAAAAAGTGACGCAGAATGGAAGAGGGAAAATGCATTTACAGCAGGTAGCAGCAAAATGCTCGCTTATAGTTACGTGGCTGGTGCATTCTTTGAGTTGAGTTTTGGTTGGTTTGAAAGGCGAGAGTGGATTTGTCGAGACTCCGAAAAACTTGTGCAGAGTGTTAAGGAAAAAGGGTTATATTCGCGTAATATGAGTGGCAGAAAAATAGGTATTTTTGTTCTACATTCACACAAAAGAAATTTGGATCAATGTATATTATTGGAATATTAGGTAGCGCGCATGTGGCGTGACTATGTTGGGTGTGGCAGAGTCCTACCAGGCCGACGAAGAACGACAAGAAATAGCGGACCACTATTCTTGGGGCAAGTAGTTCCATTGCCCTCCTCTAGCTGCTAATTTGGCGTCGTCTTTCATTCGTACGATGAATGAGGCGAAGAACAGAGTACAGCTATCATGGCACTTTTAATTAAACTGTGCAGTGTTGTTTCTTTGCGGTATTTGTAGGGAAGATGAATGGGTTAAATACTCTGGGTCGTGCGATATGATTGTGGACCATGTTTTGTGCTATTTCACTGATGTACTGTATCAACTGCGTGAATGTTACACTTTTTGTTCTGTGCTTGTACAGAGGCGCAGTGGCTTGCATGTACATGAGCAGCTGCTAAACTCATGGCCGGTAGGAAGGCGCTTCGTTAAAGTGAACGTGAACTTCCCTGAACACTTGAACGCTTGCACAGAGGTAGAAGGTATCAAACCCAGATAATTATCTATTCGATATTAGTTTAATATTCTACTGATTCACCTGAGCCTGGGAGACACGACGCCCATTGGATCGGTCGGCGGTGCCATTTTTGCGGTGCAGCAGAAGTGCTCGTTGGGCAGCGCCATGTGGCGGGCGTAGCACTCCCAGTAGCCGTCGGTCTTGTTGCCTAAATGCGCGCATGCCTTCAACGTCTGTGAAATAAAATAATTATAAGTTGCAAATTTATTATAATATTGCAGGAAAAGCTCGTTAAAATATTTTTTGATAGCATAATAGCATTCTTTAGAGAGCATTTAGAAAGCATACGTACATTAACTTTAGAAAGCATACTAGCTGATTCCCGCAACATTTTCCATGTTTCCGCATACATTTATTAGAGTATCGGCGCAGAGATACCTAAATGCGTGCACGTCTTCAACGTCTGCAACAACTTATGATGCTACATCACTTGGGCTGCGAAATCTCAACAAAGTTCAATTCTAATTTATTTCAAACGTTACTCAGGATATTTAACTTTAAATTTTCAATTTAAATTTCAAATTTCTCTATTTCATCAAAAGTGTTGGTGAAATAGAGAATATTTTATTTTATTCCCTTTTCTTAGGCAAGTTTTAAAACCCACTATAGAGTTGCCTAACTCAACAACTGTCAGGGGTACTATAATGCAATACGAAGACAGCGCAAAAATAACAATAATCATTCGAACGGAATTGGCATACTAACAGAAAGTAAACCAATAACGAAAAGAAATGTTAAAGTAACTGATAGATAAAAAAATAATGTCAAGAGTGGCAATGAATTCATTATTCTCGTTCTGATTGACATACCAAATCCGGCTGTGGCATTCGTATTTTCCTCAAAGCTTCAGAGTCCATGATGCGTATCAATTCTTTAACACCTAAAGAGAAAGAAAACAAAATTAGATCAGATCATTCTCATTTGCATGTGATAGTCTTCCAAGTTATAACAAAAGACGTCCTCTCTTGGCGCAGCTACATCCACGGATACTGATGAAATCATTTATTGTTAAAATACGATTATCCAATTTTTATGCATAAGGATTCTGTCCATCAGAGAGTACAAGAGTGTCTTTTATTTCGGGGCCGCAAAGATCGTGGATTGCTTCAAACCGACGCATAAATAAACCGACTCATAAATATCCAACACGCACAGCTAAAAATATTTGAAATAAATCTCACTATCAAGTTTCAAGTAAACAAACCTTTCAGGTGCAGTTTTAGATCGTCGGGTGTTCGTAGACATTGTAGTGTACGACTGGAAGTTCGATGGGGTAAAAATATTTTATATACATCTCATTATCTATCACGTTTCAAGTAAACAAACCTTTCAGGTGCAGTTTAATGTCGTCGGGATGTTCGTAGACATTGTAGTGGACGACAGGAAGGTCGAAAGGGTTTTTCGATGTGATCGCTATGTATCCTCTGGTTTTGGGGCGACACAGCATTACCATAAAGAAGAGGACGGGCTCGTTGAGAAGCGGACCGGCAAATTGAGAATTAATCTATAAAGGCCACAGAGTATTAAGAGAACGCAGTTTTAGTTTGACTATATATACGATATCTCAATAGATAGATTTCCTCATTTTTTTATCACACCGCGTTTTTTACAGATGCCCATGCAATTTGACTTTAGCACTATTAATCAAGAAATAAACACAATATTGAAAGTCATATGCAGAACCATGTGAAGAACATGTATAAATAAATATATCATGTAGAAGTGACATATAAACAAATAAAAGCAACTATACATTTCCAATTATCGGGACAAATAACTTATGACGACATAACATCATATTTAGAGAAATCTGTCCCAGTACTTTCAAAGTCGCTAAGTCAACGTAAGTACTTACACACTATTCTCTTGTCTATGATTGGTGGATTTTGCTTGAAAGGCCGTCAATGATTGGCTGATGAACTTACGATCTCTTAACTTTTTTTGAACCTCGCCTGTCGTCTAACCTCAGGTGTGTAGAATGGAATCTCTACGCCAACTTGTAACCCCATGTACAGATCAACGTCGGGCCTGTCGTCTTACCTCAGGAGTGTAGAATGGAATTTCTACGCCAATTTGCAGTCCCATGTACAGATCAACGTCAGGGCGACGAGGGTTGCTCCCGCCGACATTGAGGTAAGTGTGCATATGGGGTCCGGGCGGCATGGAATAGAACCCTAAGAGATACGATGCAAAGAAAATTTATTATAGAACTGCTGCTGGTTCGCCATGTACAGCCTAAAAAATTCCCCTGGTATACCCGTTGATATTTTTATAATTTCAACTGGTATTTTTAAAGACATTACATAATTGCTGGAGCAAAAAACACATAAAAGAAATTCAGGCGCTTGTTCGGTTACGCTTTATCGTAACAGAATGTTCATCTCTGTAGAAAATGGGGTCGTCAACACAAATTTTTTCATGTTTGATCATGAACATTATTGTTATTGTTTACGTTATCTTTATTCCAAACATCAAGTCTGAACTCGAATTGTTATCTATATAGGCTGGCTTGCAAACAAGTTAGACACGGTGTGGAACTCGGTCCACGGTGCCGAATATTACTCGCTTTTTGAATGGGGTTTTGCCAGGTGAGAATATGTCAGATATTTTTTCTATTGATAAGTATTGTTTAAACTTAGTGGTTTTCTTCCAGATAAGGATCGCGTTGGCATTTTCGCCACGAGTTTTTGTTGATCAAAAATGATGGCTAAATTTCACCATCGAAAACCAAGAATCCGCTCTTTAGATTTTTGATAATGCAATACAGCATCGTAAATGAACATGAATGTAATAAAAAAATGTTGATAGTAGCGGAATATTTAATCGAAGAAACCCTACCACCTAATTGAAATGTCAGAGTACATCATGTAGAGACTGAAAGGATGATCATGAATGTCCTCAACAAGTATTCTTTGGTGTTATTCGTAAACAATAACTTCAGTATGGCACGTGTATGGCCTCGATTTTCTTTTACATTTGCTATTTGCAGTTAAAATGAAAGTGAAGCCCAATGGATCAAAGTAAATAAATTTGATGTAGTCTCAATATCACCAAAAAATGCACTGCCCTAATATGTTTGATTAATTAAAAAAATTTCACTTAGTCTTGCAGGGGTATCTAATATATTATATTCCATCAGCAAATCAGAATTATGAATGAAGACAAATTTATCCATAGTCTGCGCGGAATAAGGCTTGAAAACAAATAAGCAGGTATCCGTTGATTTATGTATACCTGTTTGCTTCTTAATGTAATTCACGATGTTATGAGGGCTCAAGACATCCTTTGCCGTGAACGAGAGGCCGGGTTTTATCTTCCAGTACGATGGAAACTGCACGTGAGTGTCCAGGTTTTGTCCGACACCTTCTGTCAGGGCTACTACAGGAATCTGTGATTTTGAAATGAGCAGGTTTTTATTAATTTGAGCATAGTTGTCAAAATTAGACCTATATTTAAAAAATTCTTTTATGGCAGGAAATCGAACGGGAAGTAATTTCTCGGTCAATTGTTGCCGTTATCGACAGAATAGAAGTTTACTATCAAGTTGTTGTTTGTTAATGATACATTACTGGACATGATTTGAAATTTGCTATTCATTTAACTCATAAATTGTACTTCACTTACCCCCAACTTTTCAAGTTGTTTTCTTGGTCCAATGCCGGAATGAATTAGAAGCTTTGGGGTCATAACAGCGCCTGCGCTGAGGATCACTTCCTTTCGAGCGTCCACAATGTGAGTCTGGATACAAAGATGCCACTTTCAAGTTTAACAAGGAAAATATTACACAATTTGCCAAAAGGCAATGTAAATTTGAGCCAATTTGCAATTTTTGATGCTGACTTTGGACTATGATCAAACGCACCGGGGAGACACAAAGTAAAGCATGAGTTAAGATAAATGTAACGAACAATAATTTTAAATCATACCTTAATCATTTATAGCAGTTCGCTTTGATGATTACCTTTCCTTTGAAAGTGTATTGCAATCCCGTCGCTATTTTGTCCTGGTTGAAGAGGATCTGCTCAGATATAACAAATGAATTAAGTTGTTCTAATGGAATACATTAGGTATTTCTGAACCATCGTGCATGCTGTCATATTAAACCTACATCAGAACGACGCATGCCTTATCAAATAACGCAAAGCAAAATTTAGCATTTGATTTGTTTATAATTTGTTCAACCGATCAAACTCAATATCATCATGATATGATGATTGTAAAATAGTGTTGCCAGCGTTAAATTTTTTTATTTTTTTGCCTATCTTCTCATTTATGGAAAAAATTCCCATTTGTGCTCGTCATGTCCGTCCGTCTGTCTGTCCGTCTGTCCGTCCGTGACCTCACGTTTTCGTCGTCATTGAGAAAATGCGCTTTCTGTCACTCACTGCAGTGAGTACTGAGTTATATTTTTTTAGGCTGTGCCTTGACAGTGCGGACTCGATCACGACGTGGCAAATTTTCTTATGCTAGTTGGGTCTCGAGCCCAAAACTCTCTACCCTAATCTTGCCAATCTTAACCACCTGACTACCTCATGGATCTTACATAATGAATTTGTGATCAAGTAAATATATAATTTTAACCTTTAGAACGTTTTCGGGACATAAGCGCAATTCGAGCCCTTGAGAAAGGGCATAATTTGTTCCCACAGTTAATGAACTACAACTGGTATGTATCTACGCGGCATGCAGGCAGCATTTTTTAGAATGAAAAAATTATAGACTCTTCCAATCAATCATACCTCCTAATGAAAAATTGTGGGCTTGAATAGCACAACCACTTTGTCTCACGAGATCAATGTTTAAATTGCGAAGCTTAAGAAATCATAGCGGACGATTTCTTGTTTATAGTTGATGGGTGTATCTTATAAGCCTTTAGTGATTGGCTGAAGGAATAATGAAATCTTAACTATTTATGATAGTAGGGCATCAGGTAGGAATTAAGGCTACAAGATTGCGAACGACGAGAGCGGCAACAGCCACCATCACACACATAAAAATCAAGGCTGGGAAGCAATCTACCTCTTGGAGCAAGAACCTAAGTAATTATTATTTCACATTGTCGATATTTATGAATCCCAGATCATGGAAGACCTTAGTGGCTGAGTATTAACAACGGACAAGCGACTTATCTTGAGAATGAGATGAATGAAAATGAGATAGCGACTTATCTCATTCAATCATTATTCGATGTGAATTATTTACTCAATTGACCACGGATCCCCGAATTTTTTAGGGCTCAGATGCGTTAAAAACTAAACTTAACTGATTCCCTCTATACTTTGAAATTTTCGCCAAGAAATCTATCTATTTCCAAAGGAGTGACTGAAATGCAGTAGCGGATGTTTTTCGATTCGTGATTTATTGTCGTATGTTGAATTTCATTTTTGCTATATCAATCAAATCTGAATTCCGACAGATTTACGACGTCTGTATCAGTTTCATTCAGTGACATCTCAACTTGTAGAGCAATCGCAATATTCATCATAGCAGGTACAACCGTACAAGCGTATTTTTCTAGTTCGATCGCAAAGCATCGCTTGCGCAAAGAATCCATGAATAAAAAATGTTGTAAAAAATGTTATTGGAATGTGGAAATAATATCTGGCTTATAAATGTGGAAAAATTAACTGGCGACTAATAAAATTTTCAGTTACTTGATTTGCCTTACTTTGTCAACTCGGGCTCCAGTTAGAATGCGTAGGTTAGGTCGGCTCAAGACAGGCTTCAGGAAAGATTCTGACGCCGAAGCTCTTACACCTCTCCTTATGGTGTTGTGCACCGGCGCAAACCCTGAGAATTGTACGTAAATAGTCACAGCATTTTAAACTCATACTTAATCTTTAGAAATCTAATTATTCACTTTGTTTTCGCTGAAAAATAAAAAAATTAAAAGTAACAACAACTGGAGAAATTTCCTGTTCTGTTTATTAGAGGCCATATTTCTATCTTATGACCATGAATCCCTCATGTTATTTTTCCATATTGATGCCGAAATAATGGTTATAGGTGTGCGCCAACAGTTTATACCTGACCAATTGTCACAATAGAATAAAAATAATCGCACTAGAAGTAACCAAATTTTGACACATATGATCCCACTTAAAGTGTCCAATATTGTAAAAGTCTAATCATCCCGATTACCGTTATGAATTGCAAACCTTATGAATGCTAAATAATACAACCTCTTTAAATATACATTTTAAACAGAACACAGAAATCTCGTTTGACCTTCGTATCAAAATATGCAAAAACAATTTCGAATTTTTAAAATTTGAATATTTATAATAGATATTTAAATTTTGATCCAACCCTTTGCTCTCTATCGAATAAAATGTTTGGGATAGGTAATATCCTGACACGATGAGAATTGTAGATAAACACTCGAAAAAACCTTCATATCTCTATTCAGCGCCATTCTGCCAACGCACACAAACATAGACCTGCATACAAGTATTTAAGATTCCTCTCAAAACAGAAGTTGTTATGCGTTATAATTCTGCCCAAATTTTAATAAACAAATATAGTTTTAATAAGCACAAAGTTTTTAATATACAAGTGTTGTTCTCAAATCAAATCGCATCATTTGATATTAATCTTAATTCCTGACATGGTGTCAGGACAAAACAAATCCACGAAAATGGTTCAAAATATTCAATATTCATCTTCTTTTAATTAAAGTTGTGCCGATTTCGGCATTATTTTAGCGCATTATCCTAACAAAATTTAGAGCCGAGGGCGGCTCTGGATTAAGGAACGCCTAGGACTCGGGGAGCATAGACCACCAGCTTCCCTATGCTAACTTTTTGGTCTACATTCCGGTCCCCGAATCAGACAGCTACAAGCGCCTGGGCCTATACTTTCAAAAAAAGAGTTAGGGTAGTTTCGTGCGGATACAAACGTTAATTTACCAGTCAGTACTAATATTTGATGTACCAACGACATGCAATGCGCGGATTATTTAAATTGATCGTAATGACACTGACTTGTGATTATTTATCATAAATAGAACAGGATTTGAATTCAAATTCAGAAGTTATTTATTCAAACTAAATGCTGCTACAACTCGTGGATGTTTTCGGTGCGGATCACACACTTACTTTGATGCTTGAAATACCGGGTTTGTAAGATTCTGTTATGATTACATGAATAATTGTACATTAATACGGATACTGTATTAATTGTACATTAATACAGAAACCGTGTGAACACATCTTTCAAAAACCATAAGCAGCTCAACAATGAATGAAAATATGCATAGAAAAGAAAGAATTGAAAGTTTTTAAACTTATTTAGATTCTCTTTACTGTTTAATGCGTAGCTTCTTTTTAGTAGAGTTTGTCAGCAATAGTTTCTATGTTTATTGCACTAAAGTGCATCTGCAATGATCAAGCAACTCTTCAAGGTCACAGATTCCTATGAAATTACATTGGTCACTTAAGAGAGGTGTCCACATTTTAACTAATGAATTCGTAAACACAGGAAAAACCTCGGTTATGTTGGAATTAAATTTATCCTTCTTGCCTATACTATTGGGACCGTTGGGATCTATGATGTCGAGTCCCAGTTCGGCAGCGACGGGACGGATGATTTCTTCCATCTTCCTGACGTCGTCTGTGGTGTCGACGGTCAGAGGACCGCCTTTGCCGTGGTATTCATCTAAGGGGATTAAAGGAAATTATTGACTATTATGTATATTATAATATATACATAATAAGTCTTATTATTTTATTACATAACATATTATAAGGCATATTATTATTTAAGTCATAATATTATATTATATTATGACTTAATGATTTTGATAACAGTCTTGCGCAGTATATTAAACTGCGAATAATAAGGCATTGAATGCTCAACCGTGACTGCCACTCTGAACAACAAGAAGACTCGCCCGAGAGTTCAGTGACTGTCCCTCTGAAGAACTAGAAGACTCACCCGAGAGTTCAGTGACTGTCCCTCTGAAGAACTAGAAGACTCACCCGAAAACTATTAAATTAAATAATTGAATACATTTAATTTTTTTTAGTGAATGCGTCTCGCATTAGGCTAGAAAAGTTGAACATTTACTAGAGTGAATCAGTAAAATACCGGATATTCTGAATCAGGGGTTCAGCCCAAGATTCACGGAATGCTATACAACGATTTCTATAGCTTTTGATCTATTGTTATTAATTGTACCTTAATTATTGTAGGCATTTTCGTAATTTATTCAAACTTCGAACGAGCAATACAATATTTCAAACAACTCAAATCCAGAGACATCATAGACTAAAATCCTTACACATCATATACGCGAAATTTGCGAGGCTGGTTATCATATTCGATAGACATGAAATTTTACGACCAACGTACTAAATAATTTCTAAAAAACCATTACATCATATAAAATCGTATTCTTTCTTGTGTTTAAAATTGCATTCATCTAAATTCGTTTCTATTTGTCCTTTGCATCAAAGTCTTCGATCTCCATTAATATATCTTCGTCTGAGCTTCTGTTATACTGCTAATAATTTTACTTCGTTAATATAATGTTGATATTCTACCTTATTTTGGTTTTTGACTCCCAACATAGAGTTTCCCCGTGAGATGCCCTTCACTGTGCGGAAGTGGCCCGTGTTTGTGGCGTACGGCAGGAACGCGAGTCTGGGTATGGCAGTCTCCAGGGTGGCCGATGGCCCTTCCTCCAGCAGCAGCACGCGGGCGCTGGTCTCCGAGAGGCGCGACGCTACCAGGCATCCCGCGGCGCCCGCACCAACTGACGGGATCATTTACATAGAAGTCGAGTAATATTTTATATAATAATCAGAGCTTGAAGATAAAAATATCAGTTGCACGCAGGCGCGGGTCTACGAGAGGCACGATGCTACCACGTGTAACCGGAAACACCGCCTCGAAGTCGAAATAATTATGGGTAGCGTGCCGAATTGACGGTGACTTCCGTATTGGTTTTAACACAAGGGCTAAAGAGTCGCTCTTTGGTCCGGCTCTAAATTCCCTTGCGTTGGAGAGAGGAGGAATGAACACGAGGGACTTTTCGTAGTATATTGGTGATCTTCAGGCGATACACAAATTCCATTGTACAAGGCACACAATTTATTATTCACTATAAGTTCAAAAGCTCCGGGAGACAGGATATCAACTTCGGGGGTACAATGTTGACGAGTCCTAATAAACTGTCGAGAACCATAAAAGCGGATAGCAAGGGTACAGGTACGAGCTGCACCACGATGCCGACAACCACACAGGAACGGAAAGCACGGGTACAGGTACGAGCTGCACCACGATGCCGACAACCACACAGGAACGGAAAGCACGGGTAAAGGTACGAGCTGCACCAAGATGCCGACAACCACACAGGAACGGGGTGGCAGTTACGCCTCAAAAGCACGACTATTGAAGGGTACGAGCCTCCAATAAGCCGCTGACAATTTACTCGAGCGCAGGGGTTATTAGCCCCGACGACACGAAGGTGCGAAAAGAACGGCTGTTAACCGCCCAACGCAGACAAAAGCTGCTACTATGCATGAACTCCACCTATGCCGTTATTAGTCCGTTAGTGGAACTCTTTACGAGTTATTTCCAGAACTACGGTAGAGTTTATTCTAGCAAGCCCAAATTTGGCTCTCCTGATTAAGAGTCGAAACCGATGCGCCCCAACCCAGCACCACTGAGCACACACAACTTCCACTCGCCCGCAAGGTGCGACTCAACCAAAACAATGGCAACACGACACCCCACCTATAAAGAACACAAAACAAACTGTTAACACTTTCTAAGTGCAAAAAAATAGATAATATAATACAATACAATAAAGTCATCATAATTTTAAACATCTGGCAAACTAATCACAATTAAAAGTCGAATAATCCTGAACTAATTCTAAAGTGACCGAACTCTCCATCGTTCATGACTACCTAGCGCGCACCGTCTCCAGGCCAGGAGCAGCTCAACCAATCACGTTGGAGCTATAACATTCAGTCTCGTCCCAAGACGCTAACAACTAAATCCTAAGAATCAACAAAATAATATCACAGTTAAACGAGATTCCATATTACAGTCATGAAATAAATATATGTTTACGTATTACTTAGTCATAAATAAATTAAATCATTGAGTTAACAAAATAATATCACAGCTAAATGAGATTGAATATCGATGTCTCAAAATCAAAATAAACTCGCATTACTTAGGCTTGTTCTAACGCAACATATGACATCAAAACTCTAATATTATAATGAAGGCGGATCTTACAAGTCCAGCCAATACTACGTTCTAAAAAAATATTTATCAGAATTCGGGTTCCGTCACAGACGCCTCCCGCGGCGCCCGCACCAACTGACAGGATTATTTACATGGAAATCGATTGATATTTTAATAATCCGAGCTTGAAGATAAATAAATCAAAGTAAATATGAGCGTATATGTAAACTAAAAAACTTGACTATTTAACAGAGTTTAGATGAGGAATAATAACAGAAATTGAGGCGCTTTTTGAATATTTTGAATATTGAAAACATGAGTTCACAACCAGCGGAATCGAGAGATTTTTATACAAAAATCTTAGCTGGGTAAAACTATTGGCTTCGACATGGCAACAAAATTTATTGATAACAAATGACTCAATTATTTGTCTACAAGTAAGTTCATGAACTATTTTGCTATCTACACGTTAACTTTGAATGCATAATGAAGTTTTAAACGCCCGTAAAGTTCACATCGCCTATTGATTTAGAAAATTGGCGCGTTATTTTTTCATTGAATTTTTTGAAGCCGACGTAGGAAATACATAATGGGTTCTTAGAGCTCGTATGCACACTGTTAAAAAAATCACCGTTAAACGGTATTATGCCGGCGTTTCAGTAACCGACCGGCACGTGGAAATAAACGCCATGCTACCGTTTTTGCTTCAATTTTACACTAGAAACCCATGTAACATTCGAAAAAAATCTACCAAACGGTTTATTTTCACGGAATGGCTGATTACTAGAACGCCGATAAAACCGTTCTTTGACTGTTTTTCGAACAGTGTGGTGTCAAAATCTGAACGTTATTACTCTTGTTAATTTTGAAATCGCGAGACTATAGGATTATATTAAAGAATTAAGGATTATATTATTATTAATTCTTAATATAGGATTATATTAAGTCGAGGGATTATATGAAAAAACTAAAATTTAGATTGATTTATGATTAGATATGATTAAATTAATCGTAATAAAATTGAAATGTGAGAGGGTCGTTTTTTCATCAATTACCTTCGTTGGAGATTTATTATAGCTGAAAAGATCTTTCGATAAAAGGATTCTGAAATTTAAGGGATTTTCTTTTCCAAGAAATACCGAGTTCTACAAACATTCATTGTACATTTTAGAGCGCATTTAAATGTCCTCGTTGATGACAGGCAATTCATATATTTTGGGCTTATGCGAAAGCGTGCCATACAATACCGATTGTATCGGTATATAAATTACTTCTGCCGGAAATTTGATCTACAGTGGTTAGATTATACGGCATCGAATAACGGGAGTAACACAACATTATTGAAAAAATTCATCATATTGTGTATATATGTCTATAAAAATCATGGATACCACCATAAAATGTTGGTTTTTCTATAGGAGGCAGATATCAGCGCATTTATCCAGAGGGCATAAACATTAGGCAGAAGCTAGAGCGAAGCTCGTATGCATTTGTCTTAAGAAGTTGTTAATGATGATTTCATTTGAGAACTGCACAAGAATAACCTACTAAAATGCATACCTATAATTATTACATAATAATTCTCAAATTAAATTAGGCAAAATATCGGGAAAATTTTCGCAAAAATTTCGCGACCTCAAGACGTCATGGGGAGTTCGGAATAACTTGAAAATAGGGGTGATAAGTTAAATGCAGATCTATATTTGTACAGGGTTATTTTAAATGATGGACCAAATTCAACAGGTTCGTATTATTCAAGTATGAATTCAAAACTATTAGTTCATACAATAGAAAGATTAATATTCAGAATTGTTTTTACATATTTATAAAAGTTTCATTTGTCCCCCTTGTGCCAAATCTTCGATCATTTCCCCCTTGGAAATGGCTCTACACTTCTGACCGCCTCTACCAGCACCTCTGGTTGATCTGAAGAACCGTATTACTGCTACGGTGCACTCAGTAACCGAAGATAAGCTTTCTCGCGTGTGGGACGAGTTTTGATACCATTTAGATGTTTGTCACTCAGCACAAGAGTGACACATTCAACATTTATAAATATTTAAAAAACTATGAATCTTTCTTTTTCCAATGATGTATAGATTATTTATTTTGAATTCATTCCTAAATAATACGAATTTACTAGATTGGGTCCATCATTTAGAATAACCCTTTATATAGGAGGCAACAATGTTGGGGCTTGTTGGAAAATTCATTAATTATGTATATTGCAGATTTCAACACAATATGTTTACAACAGCAGCTTACCAACGATGAAGTCGTAGGCGCCTGACGCTGGGAGGTTGGAATCGAAGTCCTGAGGTCCGGCACTGAAGGTCAGGCCCAGGAAAAACCGTAACGCCTGGAGCACCAGCTCCATACTTGTAACAATTGAAAAAAAATAAAAATTCATTGTTTCCCGTCCATATAATGAAAAGATTCTTATAATCAGATGATTTTTGGCAATTGAGATGCATGATCATGTTTTTTTACAGAATCTAGTTTCCCGTCCATATAATGAAAAGATTCTTATAATCAAATGATTTTTCGGCAATTGAGATGCATGATCATGTTTTTTTACAGAGTCTGGTTCGTATATACGAATAAAAATATTGTGTTTCTCGTCCATATAATGACGAGATTCTTATAATCAGTTGACTTTTCAGCAATTCAGATACATGATCATGTTTTTTACAGAATTTGGTTCATTTAAAATTTGGTTCAAAAAACTTTAAATACTTGAACTCTAGATAGAAGTAAAATTAAATATTTATAGATTTATGGCAAATACGAGTGAAAGTATTCATTTAACAGAAATGTTTGATATTATTTCTCATTTAACCGTCAATCAACTTAACCGTCACGGCCGTCAATTCAGATCGGTTGAATCCAGGAATTTGTAACAATATATTGAAACGTATAAGTATGCAGGATTGATCTCGCGAAAGCCAAGGCTCTACCTAAACAAAAAACATTGGGCTCATACATGGCATTTTACAAACTTAATTTATTAATTGTCAGTATTATCTTCAATGGTATTAAACGTGAAAACTATAATCGAAAGGTTTCTACATTCTTTTGGAGCTAGGAGGAAATCATATTCATGACATTTCTTTTTTATAGGAAACAACCTAAATGGGTGGATGCAGTTCAAAATGGGTGGATGCAGTTTTGCCTAAAATTTGAAAAAATATAATAAAAATGTATACAAGAATTTTGTCTCTGCTTATCTTTTTCTCTAGGTATTTAAAAAAACTAATGGGTAGACTTTCGAGCTATTTTAATTGCCGCTATTTTTTGTAATGATCGGAGAGCTCGGGTGAGGACAGTATATGAATTTTACTTTATGTAAATCTAGTCAAATATGCGGACGCTGCAAAGTATTTGGCCCAAATTTGTTTAGCAATTCATCAAAAATCACAATACAGTTCCAAAAAACCCTTCCACTTACTAGGGTTGAACTGTATCCCAAAGTGTAATAAAAAATATAACTCAGTACTCACTGCAGTGAGTGACAGAGCGCATTTTCTCGTCGACGAAAACGTGAAGTCGCGGACGGACGGACAGACAGACGGACGGAAATGGCGAGCACAATAGCGCCTTTTTTCCATAAATGAGAAAATGCGCTAAAAAGCAGAGGGCTGCAGCGTGATTTATAGAGCTGTTTTATGGGAGGTCATGTGTTAATTTTGACCCTTAATAAAAATTGAAAATCTAACGCAAATGCAGGATTAAGGTACTATTCTGTCACGTTATCAGTCACGTGATCTACAGCCCACGGTTCTGTCAGTGAAGTAAAACATGCACGTAAAGCTTATTAAAATATGACGGAAATTCTTCTCAATTGAGGAATGAAAAATTAACGATTTTCGATCATATCCATCGGTGAATTTTTTTATAGAGTTACTAAAATGGCAAAAAATGAAAACAATTAAGAGAGATCGCATTCTCAAACCCGCAAAGGGCTCTGAAAATCGAACGGGTGAGGAAGCATCTGTTACCGTAGAAACAATGGCATTTAAACGTCGGTCTCTTACTCATTTCTTTAACTTGGAGAGAAAATACGCCAAATCTTATTTTTCTCTACACACCAATTAGAAAATATCCCATATAATTTTATTTCCCGTACGTCATCACGAACTTTTTATTAAATGGAAATTTGGGAAATTTAGAACTATTCGAAACTAAATAAACTAATCATTCCTGTTTAAAAAAACGTATGAAATTAAATGCAAAGATTCTATTTGGTTACCTGCTCAGACGAGTTGCAGCTGAGATGGTGATGGCCACAATTGCAATGCTAACCAAAATTTTGAGTTGGCGTCGTGAAAAGACTTCCCAAAACATTATAATATCTGTCCTATAATTAAGGAATCAACAGTTCAACAGAAATGTGTTGAAAATGATCACATTCACTGACCCTGGAATCAACACGCACAATTTGGGATGGAATGACGTGAACCTGAGGAACAATATTCTCGTTCTACGACGAAATTATTATTAAATTATTTCGAAATTATTATTCTACAGTTGCGACGAAATTATTCATACACCCATTCCATATCAATGTTTCCTTAAATAAATCGAAAATGAATGAATGAACAAGCCAAAGATTTGAATGAACTAAGCACTATGTAACAGAGAAAATAACACTACATTTCCAGCAAAAAATGTTATTTCAAAACATTTTAAAATGCTAAATTAGCGTTTATTAGGCCGTAGGCCTGTCGCCGATTCTTAACATCGCAGAACATTCACAGCATTTTGCGGTCTCGAACTCGCAACTCACTGCTTCAAATGCATTCGATGTAGTGCTTAACCGCCCGGCCTCCTTGCCGATTCTGAACAGAAACTGGCGCACAGAGCTGGGATCGAACCCGCGCCTCTCTGCGCCAATCCTGATACTCTGAACTCTAACCTCAATCTCTAATCTTCTCAATCGAGTTCAAGTCGCTGTTATTTTCTGGAAAAGTCACCTCTATTTTATTAAGACAAGTGGTTGTAGCTGTCGAATCATTATCTTGCTGAAAGATCCATCGTCGTCAAAGACTAAAATTCAGACCAGATGTTTGCAGATTTTCCTTCAAAATCGATATATAAACGTATGAGCCATGCTTGACTGTTGTGATTGTATTCTTCGGAAGGAAAGCCTCCCATTTTTATCAACAAATCTTCTTCGTATTATTATGTCCAAATAGCTCAATTTTTGTTTCGTCGTTCCATAATAATTAGTTCCAAAAGACTTACAATATTTAAAGAATAATGCTATGGATTTCACTGGACGGCGCTATTGCTGCCCTCCGCTATAATGTAAATAAAGAACCACCACCTCCTCATCACCCACCTGCATAAACCCTGACGGGTTCTTCCCCCTCTCTCCCAGCCCCAACTAGACCCCAATTACATATACAACCTTTCTAATCATTCGCAATGAGCCTTTTCATATCCTACTTTCTTTTCCATTTCCCCTTCTACTTTCTGGCCACCCTGCGCCACCTCTTGTTCTCTTCCACTCTTTCCTAGTGGCACCGGAACAGCAAAACTCATGGAACTTCGGCTTGTACATTCATTAATTTTCGAGTTATTCAAAAAAACGTATAAAAGAAAGGGGTGTACGGAAAATGTCGTCGCTAACTGTAACACTTCGCAAATCAATCAGTATTAATCTCGCCCTGAGAAAGTACTGTCACGACATGCATGGTGCACTAATATTACATAATAAATAAATAAATTCATTAAGTGGAGTGAATTGGCACTGGATAGGGATTATTGAAACAGAGTTCACTCGCCCCCGCTCATCAGAATTTTTCATACTAGAAAAAATCTATCCATTTAATATTGCATGGTGGCTCTTCATGCATTGTGATGCTTGGACAATATTCTCTTAAATTATCAGTGACTGTCCCTCCGAAGATATAAACACTAAAATAAGTAACACCGTCTAAATTGTCTAAATAAACACAGTCACACTAAAATCCCATCAGTGTTCAAGTAGTTGTAACATCCCCATAGTGGAATTTATCATGAAATTGGGAAAATATCAATTGGGTTAATTTGACACCAATTAACTAATTTATATAATTTAATTGCATAGAACGAACATCCTGAAAGAGCCATACGAATGCGCTAAAACTAGAGACGCATCTGTCAGCCTAATTATTAATTAATTATAATTAATATAATAATTAATTATTTACCTTAATTAACTAATCATCATTATTAATCATAAATCATCATAGTAGCAAAAAGATGCACAGAATTAAGCGCCAGATAAGTTGATCGAAGAGATTTTACTGGCGAGGACTTTTATAATCAATTTCAGAGAAATCGAAAAAGTACTTAGTAAGGAAATATAGTTTCATTAAGATTCAGCCGCTGTTTACTGTTTCTGTGCAATTTTCGCGTTAATTCGTCTGACAACACATCCGTTAGTATAAAACATGTACATAGAGCATTCAATTATTATTTACCAGGAGAACCACAAGAATTTTGAGTTCACTTCAGTAATTGGTGCTTGCTCTTTACAAATAAAAGTTGCATTACACTTATATAGCGACAATTTGATAACACTTTTGCACAATAGTTCACATGTCTTTCACTAAAGTGCGGCAATGTCTCTTCATTATTCACTGGCGTTTGGATGAAGTATGAACGCGTTTAAGAACAGACTAGATAAAGCTATGGAAAAATATATGTTCAGACTTGAAATGCCTATAGCACCATATTGAATCCGGTGGAAGTCTATAGTAGCTATTTCAAACTATCGTCAGTCCTGAAAAGATCCTGTCAAATGACACGATTTTAGATCTATGAACAAGGCACGAAAAGGAAAAGAACTACACTTGAGAGCCGACATCACTATGTTATGTGAAGTGCACCATCGTTCTCAGGGTTCAGTGGACACTGTTCTGTTCCAGTCAAGTAGACTATGAGCGCCAGCAAGGGCATGCAAGACGCGTTGGTTAGGCGAAAAAACTTGAACCGTTCAAGGTAACGCAAACTGCCGAAGGGAAATTGAAGGAAGCCCCGGCATTAATTATTTACGTAGTACATGTTTTAATTTTCTCAAGAAATGCAATACCTTTATGGGATGTTCGCCGATCAGTCAGTATTTTCTTACCGATTGTGTCCTAGGTTTATTTGTGTGCTTCCTTTTTAGCGCATTTTCTCATTTATGGAAAAAAGGCGCTATTGTGCTCGCCATGTCCGTCGGTCCGTCTGTCCGTCTGTCTGTCTGTCCGTCCGTGACTTCACGTTTTCGTCGACGAGAAAATGCGCTCTCTGACACTCACTGCAGTGAGTACTGAGTTATATTTTTTGCTGAATGTTGCCGGGCGTCTCAAGGGATCTCACTGAAGTTGCCTGCAAAAACCGAAGGGCTTGTCTTGTACCAGTCGATGCAATTTATTAACACTCTATAGCACCAAAGTCTGCGAAGTAAATAAATGAATAATTCAATGCACTTGTTGACGACCATAATATAGTAAACTTGGAGTGAAGACTTTAATTCTGACCTTTCCATGCAGCTTAAATCCTGATTCTTTCTTAAAAGAACAACAATTATCTTCATGTGAGTAGTAATAAATAACATGCAACGAACGTATCGACCTGCAGCAAATCTTAATATTTTTAAAATCTATACACTAATCCTTCAATTTGTTCATTCACACCACATCTTGACGTAGCTCTTACCCCCTTCGGTTTTCCGCTGTACAAACACCTTTCTTTATATGACTTCCTCATATGCCCTTCTGTAAACTCTCAAGTAAAACGACAATATAAAAATTAGAATAATAAAAGAATACAAAACCGACATAATATCGCAACATTATGATTATGTAGATTATTTTTATGGCGTTACGAATATCAGTGTTAGAAAAATTCAGTGTTAGAAAAAATTCGGTCTATGAGACATTTTTTCTACTGTTGAGTGGCAATTAAAATTCAATTAGTCACTTGGTCACCAATGACTCGCCATTTAGATGACACTCACGGCTGCCTTGAAGCTGTTATATTGATAGAAGAATTATCTAAGTCTTATTGTGATGAAGAGAAGTTGAATTTTTTTACATTTTTATTGCTTTAAAACTATGCACAAAGTCAGTAAATTATTTACAAATTGACAGCAGGAGACTCGTCCTTGATGATGAGCTACCAGGACGATGAAATTAATCTCAGAGTAACAATTAAGTTTCGATTATTAACCATATATAATATACAATACGTGTGTTTACTTATGTTATTTCCGAATTTCAATTTCCAGCGTTGTAATAACTTTTCACCTACTTAATTATTGATAATAAATATTGCATATTCAAAACGTCGTAAATTCTAATAAAATGTCTTTGATAACCTTATATTTGAACTTTCCAGTCCCAAAAAAGCCTGGCTCGCTAAATATAGAGACGCAATAAAAAATCGTCCTTAACCCTCTACCGCCGTATGTCACTCTCCGGGAACATAACTTTCAACTTGAATTATACGTAAACTATTGAGTGTAGCAACCTGAGGACGTTCGTACGGAACAGAGAACATTTTAAAGTTGTCGTACGTGGCGGCAACCATCAGTGCAAGTCATTTTGCGCTCACTAGAACGTATCCTTTTTGGGAAGTAGGCTCGTGACAATATTGCTCCGGTTACTCTTGTCGGGCGGTAGAGGGTTAAGATAAACACTCTGATCTTAAATAAAACTTGTATCAAAGAGCAGCTTCTGCCAAACTACACTAACTCGAGTACGCCGACTTCATTGCACCAAGAGTCTGTGCCACCTGCACAACAGAAGTCTTCAAATCTCAATTAAAAAAAAATTGCACCAAGATACCGAGGTACGATCGAGGTCAATGCCACTGGGCGGCGGTCGCCGCACTGTTCGAAAAAAACGGTAAGAAACGGCTTCATCGGCGTTCTAGTGGCCGCGCTACTTGAAAATAAACCGCTTAACCTTTTACCAGATGTTGAAAGGGTTTCCAGGGTTAAATTTGAATAAAAACGGCCATACAGTGTTTCTTTTCACGTGCCGGCGGGCCACTAGAATACCGGTGAGGCCGTTTAACGGGGATTTTTCTTACAGGGAGCCGGGCTTCTCCATAAATCGTGATTTACGATCGATATTCCCGATGAGCTACATCGATCTACATGCTACGATCGGAACTACTACGAGTCGTAGCGCGTAGTTAGCATACACGTTCACAGCTACCTGAACCTACGTGCTGTAGCGCGTAGTTCCGATTGCTCAGTGTGCGTATATATGAATGCTTAAGTTTTGAAATCCTAACGACACTGACGATAGATAACAAAGCTGCTTGGGATAATTAATTTAACTGCTAATATTTACAAGCAGACCACATCATTAGTCTGGCCATAGGAACTTCGTGTCCTATCGCGTACCCAACTCAATGCAATCCAACCGAACCCAGCCCATTACAACTCTAACTCATTCAACCTAACCCAACCAAAGGCAACCCAACCAATTCATCCAAACCCAAGCTAATACAACCCAACCCAACCTAATTAAACCCAACCCATCTAAAT